GTCAGGCGGGATCGTGGATGCACACTGCTGAGGAGTCTCATAATAGGACGAAATGGCCATCCAGTGCTTCCAGGTTATCCAAGGTGGTCTAGCTTCAATTGACTCATGATTTCAACTATGAAAAATATTCAAGTAAACAACATGCGAATCAATGGTTGATGATTAAGAAATCACTTTTTAATAATTTAGATTCATATCAAAGGTAAAAAAGAATGAATATATAAGTAAGATTATTAAATGTCACGCAATAGTGTTGTTTATAGTAAAACATTTGAGTATTTATTGAGTTACTCTATTTACATTAGATAGATAGATATCAATGGAAATTTTGAATTTGACACTGAGTTATCAACTAAGTATAATTAAAAAGAGATTGAACAACCGGTATAAAAATATTTAGATGTTTGAGATTTTTAAAGGAATATACTCACTGTTTTGTATATCAAAAAACAAAACATGGTTATGCTGATTTGAGAGTATTTTTAATTAAAATGAGAAATCAATTCGAAGTTGTTTTTCTTTATTTTATTTCAAACAAAAACAAAAAAACATTTTGATGAATGTTTCTTCTGTGTTCCTTGGTATAACATAGTTTAACTGTGTGTAAAAATGTGTTTGGTGATAATGATCAGAATAAACGATAAGAAATGAAATGAAAGATCATCTGGGATAACTTTTTCATCTGGATGTTCAACACATTATAAATAGAAAAAAACAGATATATGAATATGCGAATCATTGAATTCTATTTCAGTGGTGTGGAAGTTAACCATTTGCGTACAAAACGAAAGGTCTTGGATTCGTTTCATAGTTCTTGGTTAGCATATACACACACCTGAGAAGCCTCGTGATAATATGAAATTGTTGTCCAGTTGTCCTAGGTTTTCAATGTGGTTTAGTTAAGACCGATTAAATATTGAACAGTTTTTAAATTTCTTATCTTTCCTTGAAAACATGAAGTTCAACAGTTTAATATAGTATTAAAGAAATATGAGACCCGTTTCTTTGTTTGAGGCTATACGCTAACAAGGAATATACGGCAACGATAGCAAATTTTTACTTTTCAGTTTTTCATAACCAATTTATCAGTGATAATTTCACTGAGACAAGGCAACTAAAACTTCGTAAAATCGTATTCACAATAGTGATCATAACATAGACAATAATAACAATGTTATTTAGAATTGTTATATATGAAAAAGTGTTTAGAACGATTCCTAACTGTTTGTTTTATCGGTACATTTTAGTCATTCGGTGATTCAGATACATAGTTGGTCAAATATTCTTTGTTATACAAGACGTCAGATTTTAGATGAGATATTTTATAAATACCTAATGATTAGTATTTTACTCCATATAAGTTTGTCGACTAAATAAAATGTTTTTCAATTTGCAAATGTAGTTTAGTTCCACTAAATATAGATTTTTATTACAAATACATTTGTGTATTGACATATGAAGAATATAGAAAAAAAAGTAATTGAGATATTTCGACATAAAGTTGCTTGGTTAGTATTCATGAAATTATGATCGTTGGATTATTTTGACAAAATGGTCACTTGGGAATTACGGATGAAAAATACATAACTGTAAAACAAACAGTCTAATAAATTCTGTTTTGAAAAGAATCATTTTATGGTTTGTGTACTTATGTAAAAGCATTTTCATAAGAATATTGTAGTAAACGAGAACATAAGTAGGGACAATCAAATGTAGTTCAACAAAACATTACAGAATATCTTGATAAAAATCTGAGAACCATGCAATAAATAATTCATTTGCAAAATGTCAATCATTCATTCAGACTTCATTGTTTCTTCGTTCACACACAATTATTCTCTGTTCCCGTCCTCTTTTCTTCGATCTTCATAACCTTCTACTGTCAGATATTTCACTTTCAACTGATGATACACACTACTTATATCTATTGACATGAACAGTACGCACCACAATATCAGTAACTGAAGTAGAATGTCTAAAATGGGTGTGTATAATGTACCAATACCGTCATTTTCAGTAGACGGTCATAGAAAATTAGTTATCAAGGATGCAATGAAAGAATTTTAAATAAAATCATATAATTGCCTTATAGGATATCTGATACATTTGTGTATTTTAATTATTGTCGTTTGCTTATTTGTAAGTTTTCAAATATTTTTCACTTGCTATCTTTACAGTTGTCCTTGCCTTGAAAATAACATCATTATACTAGGAATAATTGTTAGTTAACTAACATTTACTTATTTTTTTATTATTAGCTTTATTCGAAATAATATTTTTGATGCAATATAGAATTCTCAGTACAAAGTATTTCAGAGAGTTTCCTTTTCTTATTTTTTAATCTATCCAGACGATAAATATTGATTGATTGCCAGTTAGGTGTTAGCATTTCAGAAGTCAGCATCTGAAAAATATTCATTTCCTTCAATGCATATAGCCTGTCGTCACAATATCTTCAATTGTACATTTTTGTAAATTGTACAGTGAAAAGTCGTAAACTTTTCACAGACGTACCTAAATAGGTTATGCAATTAATTGATATAATAATCTGTTAAAACAAACAAGGAAATAGATAACTTGTTGAAATATCTAGATGGCAGGAAAATAATAGCCCAGATATTCAAACAGGCCACCTTAGTCAAAAATGAGACATAATATAAAGTTCAATAAATCCAAGTTGATGAGATTATTACTTTACAATTGAACTATTTAATTAAAATATTGTCACTTGTATGATAACTATAAATGTGTCATTCATCGTTAGTGATAAAATAGAATTTTGATTCAATCCCTCAAAATAGAACTGAACTATTGAAATAGGATTTTATAATTAATTCATAGTTTATTGAAATGTTACATTTTATAGGTTTTTAAATTTTAATAAATATTTGAATTTAGTCCTATTAGGATAGTGATATATTCATCGAATTGTACAATCATGTATCATATGTAATTAAAAGAGAGAATAATAGATCTGTTTGGACTTAAAATGCATTTTTCACCACATAGTATTAATTACTAGAATTTTATTGAAAACTATAAAATACATAGGTAACTGTGCTGTAGTAATAGGGTACTCTACAGAAGTATACAGGTACCGAATAATTCAAGGTTAAGGAAACAGTAGTCATGGCTTATATTGATTATGATACTATAAACCCTTAAGTCAAGTAACTTTGTTTTAATCAAGTTGATACATAGTAAAATAGATCTTTTATGTAAAACTCGACAACATTCTCTACTTTTACATTCTTTGATATGTGAATGACATTTGTCGATATTTCATTGATACAAAAGCAAATTATTAATCATTTAAAACAAAAAATGTCCAACAAAATGGTTTAAATTATTTTTTCTGGTTATCGTTTTTTTAGCAAGTTAGTTTTTCTACGGGATGGGGTCGCTAACCCTATGCTCAACCTTCCTCCTTTACCCGAGCTTGGGACCGGAAGTAACTCTAGAAGATCTACAGGCGGAGTCCAACAAAATAAACTTCATTTATAGTTCATTTTATTTTTGATTTATTGTTTAGTGATTTTTTGTAATTTTATACTCTTTTGCCAGGTTTTCTTTTCTTTGTTGTGATATTGTTGCTATAAATAAACTTTATTCATAATACCCTTTAAGTCAATTGTTCTTATTTGATCAAAGTGGATAATTAAACCCATGATTATTTTATTTTAGGAACTCAACAACTATTCAGACTAACTTTGATACACAGTATGATTTTACTATATTGAGAGGAAATATTTATAATTTTTTAATAAAAGTTTGATAGTTGCATTAGTGGTAGAGTCAAGACTTATATTTCACTCTAAGTGTATCCCAATATTAATGTTGACATATCTACTCTAACGCAGTATCATTCACTTCAAACTCTTTGTTGTGCTTAGTACAGAGAAAATCTGCACAAAATTCATATGCACTAAAAGAGATTGGTCAATCATTGCCGTTAGTGACATCACCTAGACTAGAATAACACTTGAAAATTAAATTAGAAATATCTCCTCTTCTAGTTTTTGGTAAAGAAAATTATCTTGGTGAAGAGAACTAAACAAGGTTTGTTCATACAATTTATAAACTAAACAATCAAATAAATAACTAAGGAAGAAAGATAAGTACTATAATGTTTGGAATATTGTTTTCCTACAACGATTCAAGCTTTCATTACCAACACTCCTCTTAAATCTTATAGAAAATCTAATCTCAATTGCATTATTTAAATTTTTAAAAAGTATTCACAATATAACACTTTTAGTTTTGTTGTGATTCACATTGATCATTGGTAGTGAGATAAAAAGGTCTGATTACACATAGCAGTTTTCAAAAGTTCAGGGTTGAAAACATGACACCAAATGTCTAACACTCAAAAGTGCTACAATTCACTGAGTGATTTTACAATTTTTTAATCGTTGAATATACTAAATATTATTTTGATAATAGACTACAAAGTACTTCATAGTTTTAAATATGTCTCTGTCATCTGTCATAAATCAATAAGATACTACAATATCAGTTGCACAACGCTAGATCTTGGGTAAACAATTTAAAAGTTAAGTATATTTTGAGTGACACCAAAGGTCCTGGGTTCAATTCAAAGTTACATGTTTGTAAACATACAATTCTAATGAGGTTCACTCTAAAACTAAATGACCCTTTACTGCTTACATTTTTGAATGATCATCTGAATTATATCCGTTTTCACAGTTGAAGTCATGAGTCAACTGAAGCTAGACCACCATAGAAAACCTCGGAGCACTGGATGGCCATTTCTTCCTATCGGTTAAGTGCTCTGGCGCGAGACTGGCAGGTCCTGTGTTTGAATCTCGTGAGGAGGGATCGTGGATACGCGCTGCTGTGAAGTCCCGCAATACGACGAAACGACTTTCTAGTGCTTCCAGGTTTTCCATGGTTGTCTAGCTTCAATTGACTCATGATTTCAAAACAAAACAAAAAAGAAAACAACCAAAACATTAATCATATTATTAAAAAAAACTTACCTATCTGATGATATTGCTATAAATGTAAACACACTTATAGCTATATTAAATGATGTAAAAAATTGTGAAAATTTACAATAAGCAATACCAAATATCCAATCATTTTTTAATACATAATATACATTTGGTATAATTTGAAATATAGTTAATAAATCAGCTGCTGATAAATTAAATAAAAAACAATTAGTTACTGTACGCATTCTACGATTATTTAATATAATCCACATTACTAATATATTACCAATTATAGAAAATAATACAATAATAATAAACATAAATATTATAATAATACATGATGTTATATTAAATACATTATGTACTGTAATTGTATTTTGTAGATTATTGGTTACTGTAATTAATGTAGATGACGATGATTTAATGAATTCAGTTGAATTCATACTATGTGATGTAATATTCATGATTAAAAAAAAACGGTTTGATATGAAAAATGGGGGAAAACAAATTTTCTTAATATTTAAAATCAAATTTTTATAAAGATTTTTTTTTGTTTTTTTGTAAAAAAAATTATGAAATAAAGTAAAAAGAATCATTTGATTGGTTGATTATAATTTGATTTTTCTGATTGGTTAATTAAAATTATTTTGTAGGATAAATTTATTTAGTATTTTTCATAGTTGAAAGCGTGAGTCGATGGAAGCTAGACCACCATGGAAAACCTAGAAACACTTGACGGCTGTTTCGTCTTATTATTCGAACCCAGGACCTACCAGTCTCGAGCCAGCGCCCTTAACCGATAGACCACTGAGCTGGCATCCAACGGTGTTAATGTCTAACTTTGACTGATCCACGAGGTTGAGCAGCCATTCACCAATTGACTTCAGTGAGTTCTTATCTCACAACAGACGTGGTTTTGAACTCCACTGGTCACTACTTTTCACTAGAGCTCCTGGATATACTTCTCCAGTGTTTCCAGGTTTTCCATGGTGGTCTAGCTTTAATTGACTCACGCTTTGAACTATAAATAATGCTAAATCTCCACAAAAACCCCTTCTGATAATTATTTAGTATTGTTGATTTAAAACTTTCCATTGATGTTTAAGATTGCAATTCATCAGTCTTTGATTGATATATGTGCATAATGTGTATATTCTCTAGATATTGCCTTAATTCACAAGCACTATAAGCAAATATGGATAGTGGCTAGTATTGGAATCCAGGACGCGCGTTTCATGTTGTGGTGGTTGATATTCTATATTATACGTAAGCTTCGTGTATTCTTCGTCCTGATAACCGTTACTCGAAAACGCCCTAACAGTGTATAAATCAGAAGGCCAATACGAAGCGTTGATTGCGTTTATTATTGAACCACATACAGATATCAGAAATTACAGGTACGTTAAACAAACATGAAAGAGTAGTGCCGTAAAGCAGGCGAGTGAGCGAGAGATCAATTGATCGAGTCAGCGAGTAAGCGAGTACAATACAGAACAGTGAACAGGATGAAGATGTACATATTTACATACAAATGAAAAGCATGAATCATCAAATCAATTTAGTGATTAATAGTTAGGCTAGCAGAATGAATACATGAGTAGCAGTAAGCAATGCTCAAGCGTACATAATAAAGTTACAATAGTATAGATAGGTACGAATGACTGTCTGTTAAGTAAGTTAACAAGAGGACTTAGTCAAATTAGATGTAAACAAACTCAATTGTATGTGAGCTATTATAATGTTATTTAGGACTCGTCAGCTGAATGTACCTGCATTACAGAGTTGATTTGGATAGCACGATAGCGTTTGAAGTGAGTGGTACTGGATTCGAGTCGTAGAGTGAATTTCAACTCTGAGATGCAGGTACATCCAGCCGATGGGTCCCGAATAGGAAGAAACGCTCATCTTAGACCTCACTACCAGCCACTATCCATATTTGTTTGTATGATACTTTTTGTATGTATACTATTATTGATTATTTATTTGTATACGTCATCTATAAACAAAAAGCTGATGTGATAAACGCCGATGGCAGTTTATTATCCATTTAGGAATTCGTTCATCTCTTATAGTAAAATTCTTTACATTTGATTTAGACAGGCCCGTATCCATGGGATTTGTATAAATGATCATAAAAGTATCTAGTCATATTTTTAAGAAGATTAATCTTTCGTTGTTTAGTTATTATTGTTTGCTTTTTAATCATATTTTTAATTTTACAAGTAGTAATTTGTTTTGTGCTACTGATGTCGATAGATATAAGTAGGATGTATCATCAGTCGAAAGTGAAATAGCTGGCAGTAGAAGGTTAAGAAGATCGAAGAAAGGGGAACGAGAACAGAGAATTATTGCTATGAAAATGAATGAACAATCAAGTGTGAGACAATTGATTGATGTTTTGCAAGTGAAGTATTTAGAGTATGGTTTTCAGATTTCAACAAGATATTCTGTAATTGTGTGTTGAAATACACTTGGTTATCCCCACTTTTATTCTCTTTTGCAACAGTATCTTTATTGCATTTCGCTTAATAATTAAAAAAAAACTCTTGACTATCAAAATACCAAGACTGTGGTCATCAACAACTCTTGATAACACATGGTACTATTAAAATAGAACGTTGTACTTACTGAGAAAATGTTATGATTCCATTTAACTCTTTTGTGACATAAATGTATTTCTGTACTTAGATTTATTCATGTATCAGAAAAAAATTATTCAAAGTAACTTTCGGCTAATATTTTTTTCATGTAAGTTATTTGAACCTATTTTGTAATTACTATTCTTGACTATCACAGTTTGTATTTAGATGATGAAAACCAAACCAAATAAAATAACTTCAAGCTATATTACTCAAATCTTTATCTTTACTCCCTTTAGGAGGATAAAGAGAATTATGTGTATAAAATCATTAGTTTATATAATAAACTAAAATGTCTGACAATGGACTTTAAAGTATGAGCAATAAACAATATCAGTGTTAAATTCACTCAGTATTGTTTGTTTGAATCTTCCCATCGATGTGTTAGGACTGCAACTGGTCAGTCTCTAATATCAGTGTTACTTATATAATATAATATGATAAAATGGGATTATTAATTTGAAACAACAAAAGTAATATTTGGGAAAAGCGATTTTATACATTAAGACTAAGTACATTACATTGTTATGCCAGATTAATTATTGATCTCAGTTTGATTTCGTTTTGAAAATCTCTGAAATGAATTCAATCAGAATAACATCAATTTAAGTAATATTTATATACACGTAATTAATAGTCACTTTCAAGAAAACTTGAACATAGTAGCATAGTAATTTACTCAAACCATTTTCATTTCGGTTTTAAATTAACATCTGTTTATCCATATTCTATGACTGTAAGATATATAAGATTCTAGAGTAGACACTATTATATGTTCTCAGTTTGTGTATAACCGGTGCAGAGTTGTTTTTGATTGTTATACAAAATATGTGATTATATCATGAAGAGGAAGAAAATAAATTCATAATTATCAAGAACCTAACTCATTCTGCTACAATGTGTGCTCGGTATATAATTGATATTTAGAAAGTGTTTTTCTAATTCAAACATAATGAATGAGCATAGTCAATGAACTTACTTACTTACTTACTTACTTTCGCCTGTTACTCCCAATGGAGCATAGGCCGCCGACCAGCTTTCTCCAACCCACTCTGTCCTGGGCCTTCTTTTCTAGTTCTTTCCAGTTCTTGTTCATTCTTCTCATGTCTGTCTCTATTTCTCGGCGTAATGTGTTCTTTGGTCTTCCTCTTCTCCTTCGACCTTCAGAATTCCATGTGAGGGCTTGTCTTGTGACACAATTGGGTGATTTCCTCAAAGTGTGCCCAATCCACTTCCAGCGCTTCTTCCTGATTTCTTCCTCCGCTGGAATCTGGTTTGTTGTCTCCCACAGTAACTTGTTGCTGATAGTGTCTGGCCATCGGATCCGAAGTATCTTGCGTAGACAGCTGTTAATAAACACTTGTATCTTCTGGATAATGGCTTTCGTAGTTCTCCACGTCTCTGCCCCATACAGAAGAACTGTCTTGACATTTGTATTGAAAATTCTAACCTTGGTGTTGGTTGACAATTGTTTTGAGCTCCAGATGTTTTTCAGCTGTAGGTATGCTGCTCTTGCTTTGCCGATCCGCGCCCTCACATCTGCATCTGATCCACCGTGTTCATCAATGATGCTGCCCAGATATGTAAAGATTTCCACATCCTCCAAAGCTTCTCCGTCAAGTGTAATTGGATTGGTGCATATTGTATTATATCGGAGAGTCTTGCTTTTCCCTTTGTTTATATTGAGACCTACTGCTGCTGAGGCTGCTGCTACACTGGTCGTTTTCTCCTGCATTTGTTGTTGCGTTTGTGATAGAAGAGCCAGATCATCCGCGAAGTCTAAATCGTCAAGCTGCATCCTGCCTGTCCACTGTATCCCGTTCATTCCTCCAGATGTTGACGTCTTCATAATCCAGTCGATCACCAGGAGAAAGAGAAAGGGTGAGAGTAGGCAACCTTGCCTAACACCGGTCTTTACCTCGAACGAGTCGGTGAGTTGTCCTCCGTGGACGATTTGGCAGTTTAGTCCATCATAGGAGTTCCGTATGATATTTACTATCTTCTCAGGCACACCGTAGTGTCGAAGAAGCTTCCACAGTGTCGTCCTGTCCACGCTATCAAATGCCTTCTCGTAGTCGATGAAGTTGATGTACAGTGATGAATTCCATTCGATTGATTGTTCCACAATGATACGTAGAGTTGCGATTTGATCTGTGCACGATCTATCCTTACGAAATCCAGCTTGTTGATCTCGAAGTTGAGCGTCCACGGAATCCTTCATCCTGTTTAACAATACTCTGTTGAAGACTTTTCCTGGTATTGAGAGGAGAGTGATGCCTCTGTAGTTGTCGCACTTGCTCAGATCGCCTTTCTTTGGTATCTTGATGAGAAGTCCTTCTTTCCAGTCTGTTGGTACATGTTCTTCGTCCCAAATCTTACCGAAGAGGATGTGGAGTATCTTGGCAGTTGCTGTTACATTTGCTTTCAGTGCCTCTGCCGGGATGTTGTCTGGTCCCGCTGCTTTGCCACTCTTGATTTGTCTAATGGCCATGCTGATCTCTTCAATTGTTGGTGGGCCAATATCGATTGGGAGGTCTGTGGTTGCTGCTTCGATGTTGGGTGGGTTCAGTGGAGCTGGTCGATTCAAGAGTTCTTTGAAGTGTTCTACCCACCTGTTTCGTTGTTCTTCAATATCGTTGATTACTTTGCCTTCCTTGTTTTTCACTGGTCTTTCTGGTTGACGGTAATTTCCAGCAAGTTTCTTTGTTGTATCATACAGTTGTCTCATGTTTCCCTCTCTTGCAGCCTTTTCCGCTGTCATCGCTAAATCTTCCACATATTTACGTTTGTCGGTCCTGATGCTCCTCTTCACTTGCTTGTTTGCCTCTGTGTATTCGGCTTGTGCCTTGGCTTTTTCTGCTCTGGT